CATCCCGGATTTGCTGGTTCTGAGGCAAACATGCTACACCTAATTTTTTCGTTTATAAGTAGCTTTTGGGACTTTCAGTTAATCAGTAATATGAGATGTGTTCATCATATTTTGCTAAAGGTGATGAAGGACTGGTAGTTGAATTGTCCCACAATGATATGAATATAACTGACGGTTCCATTGAATTTCACATGGCCTTTCTTTCTCAAAAGGTGCTCTCATCCGAGGTGGACTGCAATTTCAACCTCGCCTTCATCACCTTAAACGAAATAGGGTGAATAACATGTCATAAAACTGATTTACGAGTAGTCTCAACACCTACTTATAAACGGAAAATAAGTAATGTTGTAGATTTTCATAGTAAATATATCTTTGCTTCATCGGCAATCCCACCAAGGAATGTGCTATGGGAAAATGCCTCGCCTTCCTTGAAAGTAACATCTTCTCTGTCATCCAAGGACACTCGTGGCAGTGTGGCGTAGTGGTTAACGTGTCGAGATTACACCTTGTACTGTCATGGTTCGAATCCTGCCGGGGGTATTGATAAGACCTACGAAAGGTCGGAACTGCAGTCCACTGGTGCCTGGATGAGAACAACTTTTGGGAAAGCAAGGCTATGTGAAATTCAAAGCAAACGTCAGCTCTACTCATATCATTGTGGGACGAAAGTCAACTACCAGTCCTTCATCCCCTTAAACGGAATAGGGTGAATGCCTCTCATTTTACACTTAAGACCATGTGGCCCAAGTTCGGCCGAGTTGTTTGACAGGTTGGGCTTTCTAAAAGAAAGAGTCCCCACTCCAATTTACACCTTTGCTAGTGATATTTTGTATAAACGCGTCATTCTACTTTGCTTTTTCTGGGGCATCATGATCCCAGATAATCGAAAGTCATATTCAATGCAAATTATGTTTTATCGAAGTTATCATCATTTTATGATCATAATTTATTATTATTATTATTTTATTAACAATATTATTATTATTATTATTAGCATTATTATTATTATTATTATTATTAGCATTATTTTATAGAACAAAATAAAATCGAGAGAACAACCAGAATCTCCTTCATTTATTTGTCCCTCAGTATATGGTAGTTCATATT